TCTGTTATCCCCACAAAAAACAGCAGATCCAGAAGAGGTTCTTCACTTAAAAAAATAAAAAAGATCACAATTCAACAACAAAAAAACAAACAAACCACTTAAAAATTAAAAAATGAACAAAGAACTTGAATGGACATTTCTCCAAAGAAGATATAGAAATGGGCAATAAACACATGAAAAGATACTCAACATCATTAATCATTAGGGAAATTCAAATCAAAACCACAACACAATATGATTTCACACCCATTAGGATGGCCACTATTAAAAAAAACCAAAAACAAACAAAAACCCAAAAAGAAAATAACAAATGTTGACAAGGATGATGACAAATTGAAATCCTTGTGCACTGTTGGTAGGAATGTAAAATGGCATGGTTGCTATGGAAAACTATGGCACCTCATAAGAATTAAAAATAGAATTACCATCTGATCCAGCAATTCCACTTCTGCGTATATACCAAAAAGAACTGAAAGCAGGGTCTCAAGAGATACTTATACACCCATGTTCACAGCAACGTTATTCACAATAGCCAGAAGTGTCTGTCACAACCCGTGTCTATCAACAGATGAATGAATAAGCGAAATGTGGTATGTACACATAATAAAATATTATTCAGCTTTAAGAAGGAAGGAATTTCTGACATGTGCTACAACATTAATGAATCTTGAGGGCATTATGCTATGGAGTATACTAACATTTATAAAACAAATGTATTTCACAAAGCCCTGTAGTTTCAGGTATAACCTAACTTTTTAAAATTACATATGGAAATGTTAAGAAGCTTGCAAAAGACAGGAAACTTTCTCCAGGCTAAAGTCTGTGTTGTAGATAAAGAACTGTAATGCAGCAAAATTGTTGGCTCAAGGACAGATGTCCTTGGAGCAGGTTAACCTAAAGTTACTTGATTGTTATGTAAATATGCTAAGGAAACTGCTGTAGGGAAAGAAAGTATTTGCTAAGAACAAGCTTTTGTTGGTGGACAGACTTAACCTTTTGCTAAATGCATTATGGAATGTCACTTTATTTCACTGATGTTACCAGCTTCTATTGTTAAGCTATACTTAGCCATAACTCCACCTATGTTCCTCTTCTGCAACCTCCTGTCCTGGAAAATAAGGACTGGGAGAAGACCCCAGTCTGGTGTTATTTTTTCAAGGAAGAATGCCTCTCTCTTGAGGGTTCCTGGAAATTAACCCTTTCGGGGTTTCTCACTGCTCAGAAGAAATGGGCTTTGAGTAATCCTTTGCATCTCCATCACCCAGGGGAAGAGAGGTGACAAAGAGAGTGCAACATTATGCTAAGTGAAATAAGCCAGTTACAAAAAAACAAATATCGTATGATTCCATTTATATGTGGTACCTGGGGTAGTCAGATTCATAGACAGACAGTAGAATGGTGGTTTCCAGAGGCTGAGGGGAGGTGAAATTGGCAGTTATTGTTTAATGGGTACAGAATTTCAGTTTTACAAGATGAAAAGAGTTCTGCAGATGGATGGTAGTGGTGGTTGCACAATAATGTGATGTACTTAATGCCATTGAACTGTACACTTAAAAATGGCTAGGGTGCTAGACTTTATGTGTATTTTACCACAGTAAATGTTTTTTTTTTAATTTATACTTAAACCCATTCTTGAAAGGTAAATCCTGATGACTCCACCAGAACCAGGTGACCACCATGTGCTGGGCTGAGTCTAGCCTGAGGGAAGGAGCTGAGGCCAGCTGCCACACAGTGGGCAGATCTGAGAAAGGGCAGGACATTACCTAGGACTCAACTCTGATGTTTGCTGCTGCATCACTGGTATCCTGATCTCCCTTCCTGGGCAAAGCAGAACCCTCAAAGGAGAAAGAAATGTAGGAATTAACCTATCGTATAACTTCGTATAATGTATGCTATTTACTGCATCCACTGTTTTTAATGGCAAAAGATTAGAAATAACCAAAGTGTCTATCACCAGGAAATGAGTTAAATACATTATGGTACAATGCTTTTATGATACATAAAAGCAGCTTCCTATTATTAATATAGAAATCTCTTAAGATACAGTGTTAAGTGGAAAAAGTGGGCACAGTATGCCAACTAGCATATAAGAGAGAGTGAAAATAAAAATATACATTTGTATTTGCTTGAATTTTCACAAGCAAATTCTGGAGAGACATAAAAACACTAAATAAGATGGCTACCTGTTTGCTGTTGGGGGTAGTGAGGAGGATAGGGTACCGGGGAGCTAGGGTGGGAGTGAGACTGTTCACTGTACACCATCTGTCTAGCTCTTAGTCCTGTTCGTGACGCCAGTTGTAAAGCTAGACGACCACACTAGTTGTCGCTGCTCTTTTACCTGGCAGTAATCCTGCACCGACTGGGCCAATGGTTGAGCTAGGCTGGGTCTGGAACTCCCAGACCCCTCAAGCCCATTCACAGACTGGGTCACACACCCTGCACATGCCTGGCTGGGTCACCAGACCCCTCCACGCAGGTCTGTGAGCTAGGTAACCGGCCACACGGTCCTTGGAAGCTGCAGGTCTGGAAAAACATGGCGTGCAGGGCGGGCGCCTGAGGCAGGAAACACCAGCCAAAGCAGCGCCGCCTTGCAGGGTCGCTTACTCCACCCACCCACACAATGTTACCAAACCACCCTGAACTGGCTCCAAGGTGAGGGGAGCCTGACCAAATTGTTTCATTTTCCCAACACCATCTATATCATTTTAATTTTTGTGCCACATGAATATACACTATTATATATTTTAAAAATAAATATAAAAGTAAATAAAAAATTCTAAGTAGTATATGCTCATTATAAAAGCAAAAGATATGGTATTATATAAAGTAAAAAGAGAAGGTCCTTCTCTTCATCCCAAATCCCATTCGCCCGGAATAATCATTATTAGAAGTTTGATATGTTTCCTTCCAGAATATTCTCTGTGCCCCTACAATTATTTCATGTATGTATATCTGTATACTTTTTATTTTGATTTTTAACCAAATTGGGATCATACACTAAGTACTACTCCACAACTCCCTTTTATCAAAACTCAACATATTATTACAGTATGGAAAGAGGGACAAAAAACACTAGTTTCACAGTGGAGAAACCTGACACGTACTACCTTAGCCAGGTAGTCAACGTCAACAGTAATAAATTATGTGGCTAGTATGTACCCTTAATATAACATAATGAAAATGGCACTTTAACTCTGATCTTCTTCCCCCAAACCCATAACTCCAGTCTAATCATGAAAAAAACATCAGACAAATCCCAGCAGAGGGGCTTCCTACAATATACCTAACCCGTGTTCCTCAAAACTATCAAGACCATCAAAAACAAGGAGTCTAAAAACTGTTACAGCCAAATGGAACCTAAAGAGACATGACAACTATATGTAATGTGGTTGTCTGTACAGGATCCTGGAACAGAAAAAGGACGTGAGGTAAAGAATGAGGAAATCTGAATAAATTATGAATTTTAGCTAATATAATGTATTAACATTGACTCATTAATTGCAACATGTACCATACTAATATAAGATGTTAATGGGGGGAATTGTGCAGAGCTACGTAGCAACTCTGTTCTATCTTCTCAACTTTTTCTGTAAATCTAAAAATGCACTTAAAAATAGTTTATGGGAAAAAACCCTAAGATATCATTCTTCCTTCTTTTTTTTTGCAGCAGATTGCAGAAACTCCGCTTTCTTCTCTTACTTGCTTCTTTTCTCTTCTCTATGCCTTGCAGTTCTGCCCACTTCTACCATGTGTGCACACATACAAGATTACCTTCAATGTGAGATATGCTATATTTTGATATTCCTTTCCACTGTGTCCCTGGACAAGCACCAGTTTTTTTTTGTTTTTTGGTTTTAAGGTTTACTAGCAAATATAGAAATAAGAGTCCAGAAATTTTACAAATGTGTTTCCTGACTTCTGAATATGGAAGTCCAATAAGCTTCTGCCCTCTTCTTTTCTACCTGGGATGAGGTCACCAAATTCTCAGCACCCTCCCTCCTCTCCAGGAAGATGTAATTAAGGCTCTTGCCTGTTTTTCTAACAGGTACCTTCTATCATCAGCACTGGCCTGGTCATCAGTCTCTATGGCATAACACGTTGAAAAGAAAGGTAGGGGGCCGTGTCTTATCTGCCTTAACACTTGTTCAGCACCTAATACAGTACCTAGCTCACAGTGAAATGTAATAAAATTTGTTAAGCTAAACTCTAGTTGCAGGGATATATTTTCCATTGGGACTCCTTCCCACAAGGAATGACCACCTTTGGTCATTTCTTCATGACACTTATAAAAAAAAACAAAAACCCACACTACTTACAAACCTATATTACTTAAAAAAAAAAAAAAAGNTCACCCAGGGGAAGAGAGGTGACAAAGAGAGTGCAACATTATGCTAAGTGAAA